AAGAAGTATGAGAAAAATGGTTGAAGAAAAATGAATAAAGATATAAAAGATATAAATAAATTATTTTAAATATATAATTACTAAGGCAGTGGGTGACTGACGAGGAGAAGGGGTAGGTGGTAAGTGGGTTGAAATAGTTTAGCATATGAGACTAGATATGAGAATACTATATAGATATGTATCGTAGATAGGTAGCAATGGTACAGTAAATGATAAATTACATTGTACAATTGCTTACTATCAATCACGTTGACTTTTTGGAGTTGACTGGGGGGCAAACAAGCGGTTGACTGGGGGGCAACTAACAATGCTAAGTCAAAACATATCAAAATAAGTCCTCAAACTATTGTATTTGACTATTTTCACGACAAAAAAAACAGAAAACAAGAGATCAAAACAACCTCCAGGATTCTACAAGCCATCAAAAAAGAGCTATTACCAGAAGTGACGTCTATTGATAGCAACCTATATACATTGCATTGAGAATAAAAGCATTGCGAGTAAAGGATATGAGAATATTATATAGATATGTAACGTAGATAGGTAGCAATGGTACAGTAAATGATAAAGTACACTGTACAATGTACATTGCATTGAGATTAAAAGCRTTGTGAGTAAAGGCAACATTGCGAAACACGCAACGCCGTGGAGAGGTGGTGATTATAATATAAAGTATCAAAATAAGAAAGCTGTGGGATAGTCATTCAATCTACCAAGTGTTTTTCATCGACCACCTGGATTACCAAGGGATCATGTGTAGCCCCAGTTATCTCACTATTTAAGAAAAAGTATCTCACTATTTAAGAAAAAGTATCTCACTATTTAAGAAAAAGTATCTCACTATTTAAGAAAAAGTATCTCACTATTTAAGAAATTATCTTATAGTTTAAGAAAAATTATCTCACTATTTAAAGAAAAATCATCTAATGGTTTGAGGAAAAAGCAAGGGCACAGGAAAACCAATCTTCGAAAAGTGCAACAAGTATCCACGAGTTCGCCAAAGGGCGTTTGATTTTTTCCTTTGGTTCTGCAAATCATTGTCTGTGCACCTCCCCTGCAAGATCCCTGGTTACGCCACTGCATATTATAGCCTTTTTTAAGTTCATAATATTTTGAGTGTATGTGAAGGCACAAAATACTTTCCAGCCTCCTTAATCCCTGGTTGCAAATGTTATGAGGGCTGACGTGACTATTATCATGTCCAGTTTAATTAGAAAATTCTAGAAAGTTCCACGTAAATTAGGAATTGTTAGGCCTAGGGCAAACGTCGAACTTTCCATGCACCACCTCATTAAAAACAATGGATATCAGGTGATATTGGGGCGGCATTCTTTGATGTAATTAAGTTCGTTGCATGGAAAGTTCGACGTTTGCCCTAGGCCTTAGAGAGTTAATTATATGTAATATTATAAATTCTATACAATGTTCTGGACTTTTAGCCAGCTGGAGTCCCATTCAATTCAGTAATATTCAGCTTCAAACTCCATTCTACTTCATGAACTGAAGTTCTCATTCAGTTCTTAGCGTCAGCAAAAGTCAAGATCAAGGAGGTGTGTCTACGTGTTTCCCGAACAGTTACACAAATAACTTGCAAATAAAAGCAATAGCTTTAAAAATACAACCTATTCTACCTGGTTTTAGCTTGTCAGGTTTTGTGGAGGACGAAAATGCGGAGAACACAGGAATATCATAGAGAAATATCGAGGAAGAGGCCTAACAAACTCTACATTAATAATTCCTGGAATAATTTCATGTGATGTTGAATCCTCGAGTCCTAAACCCACACAACGGATACCCATAAATAACGCAACTCAACACTAACGCTTTACCTTTTCTGACATGTCTTCTACTTCTTCAGCTCGGTAAAACAGCCTTGAAGACTTTTAGCACAAGAGGAATCACTTCGTTTGAATAAGAAGCCGGTTCTTTCTGATCAAACTCCAGCAAGTTGCACATGCACAATCCTCGATCGAACTGGTTGTCCTGCAAGCGCGTGACACTGGACTTGACAAGCCGGTTATGGTACCGCCACAGGGAGCCCAAGCTTGGTTGGCCCATGAAGAAGGAGGAGGAGAAGAAGAAGAAGAAATAAGAGAAGAGATAACTAGCTAAAAACTAGTGTGAGCTGCGTCGGTGTTTCTTATGAAACAGTAATGATAAAAGGGTAAATTTAACACCGTGAAAAGATGAAAAAACTTACTGACGTTTCGGACGCTAGTCCTTCATCGGAGTAAAAGAAAGAGAGAGAAGAGGAAGAAAAAAACTGAAGAAAAAGAAAAAGTAGAAGGAAAAGGAGGAGAAAAAGAAGAAGAAAAAGAAGGAGAAAAAGAATAAGAAGGATATGATATATAATAACATATCAGCCGTAGTGTTTCAGTTACAATTACCTGCGCTACAACAAGAAATTCTCCTTATCACCGTCCTGTAGTGTGAAGTGCCGTAGACTGAATCGAACATCTAGAATGAATCGTGTTACCATACATCAGCGTGACGTGATATGTTTTGCTCCGTAATTCGTTGCCCTCAGATTCCACTATGACTATAGCTGAGGTAAGTGCATCCTTGACTTGCAATTATAATCAGTGTCGCTAAATTATACCCAAAATATAAATATATGTTTATACATTCACTGCAAACAAAAACAAAACAAAAAAAAAACAAAAGGTAGATATCGTGATGTATGTTGCGCATTGATTGTACAAGTAACCTGAATTTTTTTTATCACTTTCGTACTACATCGTCCATTCCCGGAATCAGTACTGACTGCCGGTCATAAGCCCCCATAAGTGAGTAGAGTTTGAAGTTGGTTCTTTCCCTTCGTTTCGAGGGTTTTTTCTCTAGGTTCCGGCCGCTTGTCCTCCCTCCACAAAATCCAATTCGTGGAACGATCATGGACTGAACGAGGGCCATAAGGACTGGTTTGTTAGCCCCTGGCCGATCAAGTGCTATCAAGGACTGTTTGCACGATATTTTTGTTGACGATTTTATTTGATAATTTTCTATTTCTATAAGGAATGCATGTCCGTCTAGCTCTGCATTTTCGGTTTCCTAATGTCCGAAGAATACTGACTCTTTCTAATACGTTGACTTAGATCTTGTAGATTTGAGCAATAGCGCGACAGGAACTATTTAGATTCATAAATAAGCGATTTATGACATCGCCATACCGTGACGTCTAGCGTTTTAAATCACTGCTGTTATGAATCTCAGGAAACAGTTATGATATAAATTTTGTAAGAAGAACAATTTGGCTTCTTTTACGTTAATAACCATTTTACAGTTACGTTCTGTTTGACTTCTACAGTATTTTTCTACAGTATTTTGCTTAGTTCTTTAATAACAGGAAGCTAGTTGAGATTTTGCCAGGTATAACAAAGGTCAATATCTAAACTTGGAAATCCGTTCGTAATGAAAAAATGTGGCGTATTTCATGCCTTTTGAAATTTGATAACAGTGAAGCAGCAAAGACAATAATGAACTTGATTCGATCATATTCCTTTAGGCCCTGGCTAAACGAGGAACCAAGTTTCCAGAAACATGTTTACCGCGCGCATGTTCCTCGGTGATTCTTCATTGCTATGTGCCACAAATTTTGCTTCCAAGACGCAAAAGTGATTCTGCTGTGCGGCAGAAACATTTCATGCTTCCAAGACGCATGGAAACAATATTTCCCAATGTTTCCTCGTTTAGCCACGAAAGTCAACATTCTAAAAGTTCGTTACTTAGCAACGCTAGCTCTATCTTAAAAGTGCGCATGCGCTAACCGRTATTGAGTAAACATGTTTCCCGATGTTCCCTGACAGTTTTGCCACCTTTGGAAACATTTAAGAAAACATATTTCTGGAAACATGTTTCCTCGTTTAGCCAGGGCCTTACTATAAAACAGCAATAGACTAAATACAATTATCCGTAAAAAATAAAAATGATAAAGCAAAAAAATAAGGGAAAAAACGATGTGACTGTTGGCAACAACAATAATAGCATTATCTCAAAGCGACTACAATGGCGGCGGCGGCAACAGGATCAACAACATCATCAACAACAACAACAAAACAAGATCCTTAACATTAATACCAGCCCATCAACAATCTTACAATAGAGCAAAAAGACACAGACACAGCTTTAGCATTATCTGCGACTATAAAAACAACTATGTAAACAAAACAACAGTAGTAACAACAACATTAACATCAACAACCAAAACGACAATAGAGGCTTTGCGCCATCATGTGATAACAGCCATAACAGCAGGCACAACAATAAGCTGGTCTTTTTCCCTGCGAATTAAGGTGAATTCTTTCTCGCATGTAAATCAGATTAGATCAGATTCAATATTGTTCCTGCCTACTGTCATGGCTGCAAAGCAACTCATTTAACAGCCATGCAAAACAAAAAGAACACCAATAAAAATACGACAATTATGAATAACAAACTAAACACTGCATAAACATTTCCAATATCTCCGTTATTTTTTCTAACAGACTGGTAGACTTGAAATTAATTTGGCCCAATTATAGTGTACTGACGTATATTTATTACCAGGTGATTGTCATTTTGGCTCTTTCCTCCCATGGAATACTGTCAATCACTCCTGTTCCTAAAGGTATTTATTCCTTCTTTATTTATTAATTTATTTAGCTTTTATCTCACAACAAATCATAGTAAGAAAAAAGAAAAAAGAAACAATTTACCAGCGAATGCGGGGTAAGGGATACCGTCACAGGTTCCCCCGATTACGACGGTCCCTTAAAAAAATGAGTTTTAAGAAATGAAATATTCATGACTTAATTACAACAGGAAACCTTCGTCCCTTTCTACATTTAATACAGGGGGTTTTCCATCATGTTCTACAGTCATCAACGTCGTAGGTTTCTTGCAAAGTTGTTTGATACAGTATTTCCACTTTCCACTCCACACCCTTATCCACCCACAATATTAAAGTTGACAGTCTCCGAGAAAAGACCCCTTACGCTAAATGCTTACATGAGTCATAAACGATTTCAATCCTCAAGTGGAGGGAATTGCTTTATTTTGACCCCTAGATTGAACTACTTTCACGTGCACGTCACATTCAAGGGGTCTATCGACCTCTTTACCTTGGGCGTAATGTTTACCAATTTGAGACCACGTGTCATTCCCTAGCCGCTAGAGTATCATTCGAATTCATCGGTTGCGCACGAGAAGACACATGAATATGGATACCACTCAAACAAATTATCTTATTTTCGAGAGAATGAAACGTGGTCTGAAATGAGAAAATATTACGTCCAAGACCCAAGGAGATCTATTATTCTCAATCAGTCCATAACTGATTTTATGGTATATAAAGAGGAACGGAAGTGGGGATATAGGGAGCAAAAGACATCTCCGAAAAAATGATATCTCCATTTCATGTATCATTTCTGACAAAAGAGTCGAAATGCTTGAGAAACTCTTCATTACTCCATATGTCAGCATAACAGACCACAACAGACCATGTTGATGTAACCGCGTGCAGCCCGACACTGAGTTTAACTCTGGTTATATTAAATAAGTAAATAATAATAATGGGATTAACTGTGGATTCCACAGAGTGGCTCTTCTTCCACTGGATTCCAATTGGAATTTAGAAGTTGATTTTTGCTGAGGGAGGAAAGCCGGAGAACCCGGAAAACCCTCGAAGCACAGGAGAGAACCAACAAACAACTAAACTCACATACAAACACCGAGCTCGTCGGGACTCGAACCTGGGTCGCATTGGTGAGAGGCGAGTAAAATATTAGTAATATAAATTGGCATATTTTTTATCAGTTGCTTTTTTATTTGAAAATATATACAATTACGATAACTAAAAGGATAAATAACAGAAGATACATTTACCCTCCCTCTATCATACTTCTGGACTTTTACGTTCGGCTGCAAGCAGGCTTATATTGATGGAGTTTCTGACTTCCTGTGGATTTGGCGGGAAAACGCGCAGGCTCTAGTACGGCTCTGTTCACTGTATGCTCAGGGCGTTGTTAGTGTTATGGATGCATATGCCCATCAGTTCACACTGCGTATTTTCAAGACATGAAAATGATGTGTCGTAGATTACAGTATATGTGGAGAGAGCTCGCTGTCCGTTCGTTCAAGGATCATCGGTGGTGCAGTATCGCGGCATGGCATGTGGCCCTGGCACATTGGTCTGTACAAACAAAGTAAGTGACATTCTTTAGTATGTCTACCAGTATATAGGGGCACTATAGAAACTAAATCAACCTTACTTCAGCTGAGTTCCAACCTTAAATGAAGGAGAAAGCCTATTAAAATTTCTAAGGGCTTCTTGAGCATCGTCAAAGTTCGTGATCCGCAATCTCGTACCCAGAGCCTGCGTTTCTTCTGGCCTGCGGCGAAGAACGAGGGCTCTGGCATAATCCATTTTTTGACGCATGCGCAGTTTTTGGGAAGTTAAAATTTAATCATTGAAAATCATGCTTTCAAACAGAGTTCTGTGTTTATTTCCGATCCGAAATAAGAATCATAAATCGGGAACACATTTTTAATTTTTGGCAAGTCTTTTAACGTAAGCGCTCTTATACCGGAAGTCCAAGAAATCCTGGTCTCAAAAAATGGATTATGCCAGAGCCCTCGTTCTTCGCCGCAGGCCAGAAGAAACCAGGCTCTGGGTACGAGATTGCGTGATCCTCTGAAAATGGCCCTTAAACTGAGCTACCTATATTATCCTATTACCTAGAAAATGTTGAAGGTCCAAGGAGAATGGGCCAATATTAGTCAGCTGTGACGTCTAATAATACAATCCCCCGTCCCCTATAAAACATACAGCAATCCTAGATTTCAAATCAGGATCGTATATCAAGTCATTTTGATTTTAATCTTACAGCAAATGAAAAAAACAAGCTGATATGCGGAGGTGCGCTGATATCTAACCGATGGGTCTTGACTGCTGCTCACTGCTTTTACGAAATACAAAGAAGTCCAACTAGGATATGGCACCAAAAAGACATTTCTCCTGCCACCAAGTAAGTCAACTTTTCTGATAGATTCCTTTCTATACTGCATTTCCATTGACTTCATTTCGCTGACATAACATGGCGGTCGGTGTTTGACCACCATTTGGAGCAGATAGTGTGGTTCAAAGACATTGATCAGCTGATTGAAACCCAGAATACAGTCAACTCTCGTCTTGCGGACACTCCGATATTACGGACACCTCGCTATTAAGGACAGGAGAAAAATCCCCGACAAAAATATTGACAAAGAAATGACCGTAATTAATCCTCGCTATTGCGAACGCTCGGTATTAAAGACACCAAGTGACGGTCACAAGGGTGTCCGCTGTAACGAGTGTTGACTGTATATACGGTACTTCCAGAATTATTGCATATTGTATACTTTGATGAAACAATTCTACTTTGAGTTTTTAATTTAGAGATATCGGATCTGTACAAAATCCTGAATTTCACATCGAGAGATGGTGGGTGTACATGTCGGGTAACCCCACCCGGCGTTCTCCTCTAAATCGGTTCCCGTTATATGACATTCTGACCCCAACGTTATCACCTGGCCTTAGCTTCAACCAAATCTTCTTTCAAGACTAGCTTGATTGATTGATTGATTGATTGATTGAT